TGTGTGTGTGTGCAAGCTGATAATTATCGATCGCTGTTATTGACACTGTTGGCTGTGCTTTTGAACAACAATAGCAGCTTTCTGGTAATGCCTGCCTGTTTGTTTGCTGTTTGCTGTATCCGAGTCAATAGACTACCCAGTTTGACAGTGCCTGCACTCTTGCACTTTTAATGACAGCACAAAACCCCTTTGTTATTGCTGCTGTTTGGACATTGCTAGTACATCTTTTCTGGTAGCTCACATGGTCAAGAACACGTTGGTGCAAATCAGTGCACACCAACCATTGTGTCAACACAGTAGAGCACGCAAGCACCAATCATTCAATCAACTGCTGATGTGCTCTATCAATTGACGTAATTAGCGGATGTACTACTGCAACTACTGCTGCAAGAGAGCCATACAAATTCACACACTTTTCCTCCCCCTCAATTGTCCCATTCGTTCCCTTTTCTGTGAGCTAAACCGCACATACCGTAAAGACTGGAGAAGATTAGTTGCGGTTTTGCCTGGCTGATGCCGCCCATCGCCGAGAAGATGTCCGGAGCGCCGTTGCCCAGCGCGAGGAAGGTGACACCCTGATGCAATAGTGAAGGTGGTTGTTGTTGTTGTTTTTGTGAGTAAAAAATATTTTAAAAATGTTAGAAATGCAACAGATTTTGCCCCAGTTTATTTAGTTTCCCTTACTGCAATGTGGTCGGGCAGGCGAAATGTCTTTGAAATGGTGAGCAGTGATGGGCAGAGGCTAAACAGAAGAATGTTCGTTTCGATACAAAAATTAACAAGTAGATTTCAGGTATCACTTACAAGTCATCAGCGACGCTGCCAATGGCGACAAAGAGCATGAAAAGAATACTGAGGAGAATGAGAATGGCCAACCAGCGAAGGTGGCCCAACTGACAGTAGGTCAGCTCGGTGTACGAGTAGAAGATGCCATCGTAGGAGCAGTTGTCGGTGTCGCGCACAAAAGCGCACTGTTCAACTATGCTCGCCAGACTGTTCACTGAACGGCACTGAACAGGTTGAAAAGCAAAAAAAAGTTGATTGACTGATTAAAACCCAAATCAATTTCAATTTAAGTGAAAACCGTTACCGTTATTGCTTCATGATGAGTGTACAGCTCTTTGGTGCCATTTGTGAGCACTGCTGCTGCGATGCTTTGAAAGGGTGAAAAGCTTTTGAGGAAAAATGTATCCATGTTTGAGATTTTTTTGGGTGGTGGTAATGATGGTGAATGAAAGTGGTGGCAATGGTCGTCAAAATGTTTTGACAGGTGGATTATGCGCTTTTTGCTGCCACCTCTGAATCATCTGCTGAGTGGTAAATAAATTAAACTGACGTTGATTTCAGTCGTTAGCGATGGCATTGGAGAAAGACCGGTGATCAGTGAGGGGAACCAGTGTGAGGAGAAAACGGTAGCGGTTGCTGGGATGTTTCCTTACGTAACACAGTAGTGCTGATCATTAGCAGCAGCAACAACAGCAGTTGAAAGTTGTCAAAACAAAACAGGTAAAGTAGAGAGCGAGGGAGAGATTCCAATTAGCTACATCTAAAGAGCAAACAAAAAGTATGATTCAGTTTGCCCAGAATGTGTCGGTTTAAATATGAAAAGTTGTTAAGGAGGTAGATGTACCAGCGATGATGATGGTGATGAAATAAAAAATTTTAAAAAGGTGAGGGTGATGCTAATTTTGTTGATGATGCAGATTTGCTAAATGAGACTCACTACAGTTTGGCCTGGTCTAGACACTGTCTGACGGCTACTGACTTGCTTATCAGAGAAGACATTCGCTTTTAAAGTCGATCGCCTCCTCATTACCTCCACGCCTCTACAACTGCTGCCGTGTCGTGCTGTTGTCTGATTGATAAGCTCAGGTGTGAGATAGCTGATTGCGGTGATGCTTATCAACGACGAGGAGAAGCACTGACGTAACGGGTTTCAGCTGCTGCTGCTGCTGCTGGTGGTGATGCTCGTTATTCTTCAATGCTCATTGCCCAACTATGTACACAAAAATGGAGTCCTCTCACGTTTATCGGACAGTGCAATGGTGCAAATTGTTGAGTGAACAGGCGGTGTTGTGGTATGGGAGCAGTATTTAAATCATAATGACTACAGTTTAAATAAATGCTGCTCAGGAGGCAGCAGCAGCAGCAGCAGCATCGGCGGCGGCGGCAGCGTCAAATCGGCAGCTCAAGTGGCCAGTTAATCCCAGCGCCGGGCACAACACCACACAGACACAGGCACTAATCACCAGCGAGGGTGGTGATACGCTTTTGTCTAATTGGGGGAAGGGGGAGGGGGAAATGCTAAAAGTAAACTCCAAACTAAACACTTTCAGGCAAAGAGTGGAAGTCCTAATCAGTGCCGCCGCCACCGCCAATGCTGCTGGTGCCGCTGGTCAAGCGTGCTGCAGGTGATAAGCATAGAAAGGTAGCAGCGGCTGAGTGGGTACTAGCATTGGCCTTTTTAGTAACGTTTTTAGCATCTCTGCAGCCAGCGAAAAGTGTGTGTGTTTAGAGTGATGGCACCGTACCGTTAGAAAGACACATCTCGTACATGCGATCGCACACAGAGCACAGAGCACAGCAAACCAACAATGATGATGAGCACCACCAGTGTCACTGAGGCATTGCTAATTGATAATTGGAGTGAGACTGAGAGAGTAGAAAAGAGAAAAAAGCTGTAGATTTAAAAGTTTTTAAAACACATTTTAAAAAAAGAAAGTTTTTTTCAAGTGCGCCGTGCGATTAATAGCAAAGTAAAAGTAAAAGCATTGCTTGTGTTTCTGTTGTTGCTGCTGGAAACTGTTGTTTACCCCTAAAAATAAGAGTTGTCGTACAATCTAGAGTGAAACAGCGGTAAAACAGCAGTTGGGATTACATCACTGCAACCTAGTAGCTGGGTAAATTGGTGGCTCAACTTGAATTGCATTCAGAAATCATTTTGCTCTATAACTTATTTTTATTTGCATTTTTCCAATATCTAACCATTTATACCTGGTATGCCTGCAACAAAACTTCAATCATCATCCGCAGTCTGATGATTAGAGCTGACAGGTGAGCAGGTGGTAGTAGTAGTAGGCCCAGCAACTGTACACACAGTTTAGTTCACTGTGTTTTTGATAAAAATACGCATTGGTAAAATAAAACAAATAAACAGAAAGAGAGAATGAGAGTGAGAGAGACCGAGAGACAAACTGCGTGTACGTGTATTGCCACTGCCGTTTAATTATCGTCCAAACCAGAAAAGAAAAAAGATTTGTGTTCTACCTGAAAATAATAGTTTTTCTCACAGTAGAAAATAGCATACTTGATCATTAAGGATCGATTTGGAATGCACACTGCTCGGGATCGCAACTAGTACTTCTGCCAGACTTTTTGTTTTTAGTTTGCCTATGTTTGCCCGTTTACAAATTGTAGTGGGCAAAGAAAAACTAAGGCACTGGATGACAGATGAAAATGCTCTTTTTGATGCAATTTATCATGATCATTGATGACAATCCAGGCATTTTACCACACACACATTACCACCCTCTTTTGATGAGACAAATATCTGCAGTTTACTGAGATTATGATTACATCAAAGAGCATCTAGATTTAGATTTAGAGAGTGTTGAATTGCCTTAACTTGGTTGCCTCAGTGAATCATCAAGAGAACATTACAGCAAGTTAGAGTTATCCAAAAACAAGGTTTGCGGGGGACTTTGCGTCATTAGAAGTAAGTGTTCTATGAGCAGTGGATTAGCTGGGGATTAATGTTGAAGCACGGCGCAATTAAGATTGGAAGCGTTGGGGGAAAGAGAGGAAATAATAATAATAACACTAAACATAAGCAAACAAAGGAAAAGTATTGTTACAAATTAAACTTAAAACACATTTTTGTTTTATTATTAAAATGAGAAATCGGGTCTAGACAATCAAACTTGATCTTGACCTCAAACAGCGGGAGCAGATCTGAAGTGATCTGTCAATCAAACCGAAACGTTATCGTTTCTAAAAACCGAGTTGCCCCGTCTGCATCAGATTGAGAAGGCATTGTTTGTTTGTTTGAAGATCCGGTCGGCAACTTTGTGCACAGTAGCACTGTTTAATTTTTAATTAAAAACTTTAATGATAACAATCCAAGTGTAAAAACTGTTCTAAGCAAAAATATACACTGATAGACAAATAAAAAGTACATTAAGATAAGTTTTTTAACTGTTTTAATTTTTAATTGATTGAAAATAAAAAACATTTGAATATATTGAACAAAAAAAGAAAAAATGAGATCACATGAGGGTTGATGAGAGAGAGAGTTGAGAGTGGCACAAAAGATTGTTGCGTTTGACCAGATTCAGGTAAAGTATTTTCATTGCTGAATTTGATAGGAAAGAAAGCCTAACTAAAACCAAATTACTGTCAGTGAAGGACAAACTCAATGACCACTGCCATGGCAATGTAGACGATGTAGATGGCAATGAGAATAGCGCCGTGAATTTTAGAGGATTTGAAGCGTTTTACAGTAAAGAAAACAAGTGTAGTGACTAAGCTGGCGGTGATTGTTGCAAAGAGCAGCGTCGTCATTTTAGTGTAGTCGATCTGTTAGGTCAAAACATAAGTTTTATCATTTTTTAAGACGTGTAAAACTTACGAGCAGTTTATTTGTATCTTGGCCGACAAAAAGAATTGTGTACGGCAACCCGACGCCCATTAAAAGATCTATTTGAATTTTTGTGTTAAGATTTTTTCATAAAAGATTTTAAAAAGCCTGAGCACTTACTAAGCATGGGCCCACCAAAACAGGCCGATATGGCAATGCCCGGATAGCCATGTCTGGCCAGCGAATTGTTAGCAATCAGATCACCGAGACTGTTGCCCCAGGCAAGTATCGTCAGTCCAAGAATGGACTCGGAGAGATTGAGAATGACGCCAAAGGTGGTCAGCACTTCAATCACCTCCTGGGCAATGATGTTGATAAAGAGGACGGACATGATGAAGCCAATAAAGCCAAACAGTCGGTGGTAGACCGGCGGTTTCCTCTTTTGAGAGGTAAAAAAGATGACCACCGCCAGGACTGCAGAAACCAGCAGCATCAAACTCCACAAGGGAAAGACGCCATTGAGGCGCATTGAGGAAAAGCCATAGAGGAGAATGACCACCTGAGGCGCACAGAAGACATTCAAACAGGTGAGCAGCCGGCACCAGTTCTCATTGGTACTCTCAATGTCCACCACTGGAATGCATACGGTCATGAGAAAGTACGGAAGTGCCTTAACAATTTCCAGTGCCCGACGGTACCACCGGTACTCGGACCACTCCAGCAGGTCAATCGGACAGATGTGAATGATAAAGTCACGACTCTCGCTGAGAGCCGCCTCCCAGCTGGCGGCTGACCAGATGGAGGCGGTGGACAGCTGAGAGAGGTACTTTGGCTTAGCGAAGTTGTTGGTGAAGGTGATCTCGTTGTGGTAGCCTGCGGGCTTCTTCTTGCTTGAACCAGTTGCAGCTGCAGCAGCCAAAACGTTCTCTCGCTCAATGGCCTCCTTGTAGCGAACGTCTTCTATGACCGCCTTGCTCATCCGCCGATCTGCCTCGTAGACCTTGGTGATGTGCGCCAGGGTGTTTTCAAAGTGGTGGTGGGCGTGGTGGTGGTGACGGAGGTTTGAGAGAGTTCGACGACGGGAGGAGCGCAAAGAGCCGGATCGGAAGAATCCTAAGTTTTAAAATGGGTTAATGTTTTCAAAGTTGAAGACTGAAAAAAAGTTTTTCTTGTTAATCACTCACTGGTCAGAACAATGCCATCCTCGTAGCCGTACGTTCGCTTTCGCTGGCTGGTCGTTGAGCCGGTGGCACTTGCCTTTGAGGTGGTGGAGTGCTTCCTCGAGGGCGGGTCCAGCATGATGGTGCTGATGTCGAGGTGGTGACGACCATTGGACTTGATCGACCTGGCATCAGCTGATTCAACGTCAACCTTTGGCCTTTCAACCTCCCCTTCTCTTTTGTCACCCTCTTCACCCTCACCATCTTCATCCTCTTCATCATCTGCAGGCGAGGTTTGGTATCGCATGTAGATAAAGCGACTGACCACCAGGACAATAATGTAAACTATATAGTAGCCGACTAGAGCTAAGAGAGGGGGTGACAATGTGTAATAAAAGATGAGTTTTTTAATAACCTCTTTTTATATTCAGATGCACTTACAAAGCGAATGCGCCAACTGAAGAGTGCCATTTAGGATGAATGCCCAGACTAGGACGGCAGCACCAATGTAGAAGGTGAGATCACGCACCAACGGCCGCTTCATCACCGCAAAGTCACCGCTGAAGAGGACAGTTCCGGTGACGACGGTGGTGGTGAAAATGCCGGCGCCGTACAGTGCAGAGAAGACCAGATGTGGCTTTGCCTGACTGATGCCGCTGATCGAGGAAAAGATGTCCGGTGCGCCGTTGCCTATGCAAAGCAAGAATGAAACAGAAGATATTCTGCATATTAATTTCCAAACTAACAACAAATACTAATTCAGACAAAAAACTAACCAAGTGCAAGAAAGGTGACACCTGCTATATGATCTGGCAGGCGGAACGTTTTTGAGACGGTCAGAAGAGAGGGACAGAGACTGAAGAAGAAGAAAGCAAATGTGTGATTTGAATTAGATTAGGGCAATTTAGAAAGCTAAAAAGTTTCAGCACTCACAAGTCATCGGCGACGCTGCCAATGGTGACGAAGAGCATGAAGAGGATGCAAATGAGGGCGAACATGGCCAGCGGCTGGAGGTAGCCCAGCTGACAGTAGGTGAGGGCAGTGTACGGGTAGAAGATGCCATCGTAGGAGCAGGCGGTGCCGTTCACCACAAAGGCGCACTTCTCCTCCACCGAGGGCAGACTGTGGATAAAAGAGCACTGAAGAGGAGAGTTGAAATGAAAAGTTACAAGATTCAATTAGTTCAGTCATCTAATGATTGTCTGGTTCTTTCAAGTGCTGAAGTGCACTTACACTTTCATTCCACCGTGGTTCTGATGGTGTTGATGAGGGGAATAATGGTGATGCGGTAAATGAGTTTAAACCGTTCAGCAGTAGTTGCTCCATTGTCATTGTTTCCACAAAAAAACTGCAAGTCAATTTGATTTTTTCAGTTAACTTTGGTTTGGTAATTTAATTTTTAGATTTGGCCGCAAAAAACTTCTTCCCGTTTTACAAAAAATTAAATGACAGAGTGGGTTTAGAAAAGAAAAAAGCTAAGACGCTACACTGCCAGAATTTATATTTTTTGCTTAAAAGTAAAGGCTTTGTACTTGAGGAAGTGCTATTGTTTTTTGTTGTCAGTTTATTAGCCTTGAAAAAAATCAAGCTGTATAAAAGAGCTGTACAGCTTACATCAGGTTCCAAAGTCCTTTTCCAGGCTTTGCAAACAATAATAAACACGTGTGCTCTGTTTACATTGCATTGGAGGCCTCAGTATCACTCTCGGTCTCTCACTTTCTCACTCACTCACGCTAATCCTAAACTGTTAATTGCTTTTCATGTTTTACACGGTTGTTGTTGTTGCTGTTGTATTGTGTAGGGGCCAGCATTTTAAAATCTGCAGTGTAAAACAAGATGAGAGAAAAAGAGATTTAAAATTGCAATGGGGCAAATTGCAGNCAGCTGTACAGCTTACATCAGGTTCCAAAGTCCTTTTCCAGGCTTTGCAAACAATATTAAACACGTGTGCTCTGTTTACATTGCATTGGAGGCCTCAGTATCACTCTCGTCTCTCACTTTCTCACTCACTCACGCTAATCCTAAACTGTTAATAGCTTTTCATGTTTTACACGGTTGTTGTTGTTGCTGTTGTATTGTGTAGGGGCCAGCATTTTAAAATCTGCAGTGTTTAACAAGGTGAGAGAAAAAGAGACTTAAAATTGCAATGGGGCAAATTGCAGTGTGATGAACTGCAGTTCACTGTTGCAATGGCCCCGCAAAAGCCGTCTTTGCTTGTTTAAATTCCCGATAGTATAGCCACCCTCTCACTCTATCTCTTATCAAGAGACAATAAAATAACAATGTAGTCTGTGGTAGTGTATATCTCCAATTGGACAAACGGAGAGATGGCTACTTCCTTTCTTTTTTTACAGGAAACGGTGGAAATTCCCGCTAAATGCGACTTCAGCCATTTGAAAGCAGCGCCCTTTAGTAAACCAACTCTCAATCTCATTAGTGCTGCAGCTTAGGTTTAGCAAACACTACTAAAAAAGTTTAAAATTTGATGGTATTTTTAGATAAGATTGCACAACAGTGGGAGACCAACAAAGACACAAGCGACGAGTTAGATGATGCCGATGAACGGCGGCACAGACGCCAAGTCGCGCGCGCGAGAGTCCCGATTGCACGCAAACACACAGGCAAAACTGTCACATGATTTACTAATAATAATAATAATTGGCAACTAATTTAAAATAAGTAATTTAAAAAGTTAACTGATAGCAAACAGTACAGATTGATTGCACATTGGGCTGCTTTATCAAAACACGTTCGTGATCCTTTTTCATTTTTGCATAATTAAAAGTTTACGTGAGCAAAGATGGTGAACGCGTGCAAAAAGGTAGCAGTGCACAGTTTTGTTGTACGTCAATGGACAATCAGTAAGTGGTCACTCGTGTGTTGATTGGATCTGACTGACTGT